CTTTATTACTGTCTTATCACGAAAATGCAAGCGTTTATATGGCAGGAGTCATTAGCGCGAAGGATTAGATTATTATTTTTACCTATTTTTAGGTATTATTCCCGATAATCTTGCGAAACTACGTCCCGCTTCAAGCCAAAATAAGCATCGGTGTCTGATTGTGGCAGATCACTTAACGCATATCCAGCCTATTTATAATGGCGGCCTCAAGTCTCGATCAGCCAACAACCGTTGAGTCCACAGACTGGTGTTTATGCGGTAAGCGTTGACCTTTACCGAACCCTAAACCCGTAAACACCCTCATCTTTCAGTAAGTGCCGCAGACAGCGAGGGACACGCCAACGAATGCTTCATCCGCCTGAGGTTTTTCTGCTCTACGGGTAGCCCCGTTTGTCTCGGTGAGTATAAACTAGTCGAATACGCCTAATGTCGATAAAGTTGTCGTTGTATGAAACATTCGTAGGGGAAACGATCTTATTCATAAACAAGAGTGTACAATCTCATATAAGAGTAAGGTTTAGACTGGACCTGACAACCCTCTTCTGTCAAATTGACTTGACTAACAGTACCTATGGAGTTATGGCGCTAATATTTGTACGGAAGACAGCGTGGCAAGTTGGGATTAACCAAATCTTTGTTTCAGTCGTCACTGTCATTTGCCTACGGTCATCAAACTGTACGCCGTGTATTTATAAACAGCCTTTTCTGCTAGTAACATCGATTTATGACTCATGTTTTGAATATATATATCTCAGTGTTAAATTCAAAAGTTCAAATGCTAAAGTTTTGTAGGGTCCAAAGCAGATTCCATGTTAGCACTATTTTGGCTTTTGCTTTGAGTGGAAGGATTCACTTCTTAGCTATCGGGAATCGCTTTCAAATTGGCCTCTTTCTGATCTCCGCACCTCTTTTTCCAGACGATCCTGAAAATGTAGAAAGATGGCAATGCATTCCGCTAGCCATCAGCAAAACCTGAGTTAAGCACCTCATTGATATTTTCGTTAAATTCTGTATTGCGTCGTACCTGACTTTCGCATCGCCTTCGACTCAATGCTGCATTTGTGTTGTGTGTCAAATAATGACACTGCAACATATCTCCGAAAGAAGACATGCCATGAGATTCAAAAGAGTCATCAGAGTGATTAATGATTAAATCTAAGATCCAGCAGAGAGACGATCTTCCATCTTTACTCTAGGATTCATTGTTGATTACGCAGTTCCGGATGTCAGCGTTAGTGAATGAAACTGTCCTAATGAAAAATATGAAATTCGTACTTGGCCATGTTCCAATTCCAACAAAAAACATCTTTCTTAAGGATAGGAAATCAAATTAACATAGTAAGTGAAAATGACCTCTGAGATAGCTTAAAAGTTTACCATACAACTGGTCAACCAGTCAAAATGGTATTTATTCTAAGAGCCAGAAACCTAGCTTTGACGTGCAGTTGCACAGACACAGTTGTAAATATGCGTAGCGTCAAATGTGTTTGGTAGATTTGCTAGTATTTGAACATGCTGTTTGTTTTCATCCTGTATACTTCATTTCCTGTTCTTCTGCTATCGGTTCTTCACTTTGACTATTATTTCTGTAACTTCTTCCTACCGTTTCTTCTACGGTTACTGTTATTTCCTCCTCTTTCACTTTATTATTAAAATCTCCTCTAAACCATCCCATGTGACTATTTTTTCCTCTTATACTTTGTACTGATGATACTATGATTTCACTTTCAACTACTCTTTCTTCTTTTACTTCGTTTAGTACTCTTCTTTCTCGTCTACGTCTATTTTTCCTTGTCAGTTTCTTCTTTCTCCTTGTTCTTCTATTTCTATTTGTCACTTTTCTTCTCATCTGCTTTTTCCCTTTCATCTCTTATTTCTTCCCATTTTATTTTTTTGCTTTTCTCTGTTATTTCTTGCAATTTTGCTATCTCGTCTTCAAGGTCTTTCTCTTTCACCTCTTTTCCTACTATTACTGCTTCTTCTGTTTTTACCTTGTTTCTTCTGCTGCAACTTGCTATCTGACCTTACCTTTTTCTAATACATCTTCTTCTTTCAGTTTTTCTCCTATTGCAATTTTTTCATATACTTCTTGTAGTAGTGATGATACTACTGATACACTTTTCTCATCTCCTTTGCACTTCCGCCACTACCGTTATTTTTGTGCATTTCTTCTCCCGTGATTTCTTTCGGTCTACCGCTTCTTCAAATCTACTCCTCTATCCTCTTCTACTACTCTTTCCTCCTTTACTTCCTTTATTCGTGATTTTTCTTGTTCTGCAATTTATCGATATTTAAATAACTCTTTACGACTTTATTGGATACTGCATAATCTTCATGTGCTTCTTACGCTTCTCTTTCTTCCTCATCTACTGTTTTTGTACTTGTTCTTATTGTATTTCTTCTCTTCCTTGTATTATTGCATACAATTATACTGCCTTTTCTTCTGCAAGTTTAATAATTTACCTTTCCTGTTTCCCGCTACTATTTCTTCATCATCTGCTTCTTCTACTGTTTAATTCTCTTGCGTTTCTGCTTATTCTATTCATTCGACATATTCTTTCTCGTTTTCCAGTTTTCATATTGCCTTATGTTTCTTTCTTTTCTTCTGCTTATTCTTCTACTACTACTGCTACTGTTGCTACTTCTGCTTCTTCCAATAGCCCTTCCTCGTCTACTTCGTCTGCACTGATTCGACCGTTTCTTTACAATTTCTTCTGTTCTTTCCTTCTCTTCTAGATATAATGTTTTCAAGATCATACAAGATATAATATGATATGCTTTTAGAATTAACACCAACTGAGTTCCAGGTGCTACTGAATTCCGTTAGAAACACGGCAGCAGACATCAAACTTGGCGAAAAGGTCTAAAGCAAGATAAGGTATAATGTGATTTTTAAGCAGATTTTTATTACAACTGTATTGTTGCGTATAACTGTATGCAATTAAACCCCAACCCTTTTGATATTCTCAAAGAAAACAGCTTCCAGAAAACGGCTTGTGTGCGATCCAGCGTTTAGAATCCAGGCTGTAGATAAAACTGTGAAGATTTTCGACTGCCGTTGTCATCATCACGTGAAACAGTTCATCTGGAATCTGGTGAAGAGAAGGGTGGCGAGAGTTGCTGGTGGTTTGAATAAAAAAATCGGTTAAAAATGACGAAGCGCGTGGCACGAGGTTAACGAAGGATTTTCAAGCGACGTATGTGGCCTACCTTGTGCAGAAACATTGCGATTGCAGTTGACCGACGAACCATATGGCTCATAGACGGACCTTGATAATCGAGTAGGCGTTACCGATGAAGAAAGTGGCCATCATGGCAACAATGGCAAATGAGTAGTACACGGTGAGGGTGCTGGTGTGGTGAACGAACCAGTTGCTGACGAAGCTGAGCATTAGGGCCACGCAACCGAAGACGTACAGCAGGGAACCGGACAATGAGTGGGCGAACTTCATGTCCACCAGTCGGACAAAGGTGGTCAGCTGCAGAGCATAGGCGTACTTCAGCAGAAGTCCGGTCGGCAACTGCAGCAATGTGAAGCAGACGGTGACGAAACCGATCAAGCCATGATAGGTTGTAAAGTGGTTCTTGCCAAAGGCGGTCTTACCCGTATACACGACGATGAAGCCGCACACGCTGAGCAGACTGGCGGCGGCTAATAGCCAACCGTGCAGATTGACCCTGGTCAGCCATGACACGCGACTCTGCATGACTCCGTACTGCGTCAGGGAAAGTATGGCGAAGGACATCAGCACAGAGTACTGAAAAGCAATGTACAAAGCTACATTGGTTCATATCCGTCCAAACATCAACAGAAGCAGAACTGATACCACCACTACAACCTCCACCTCATCTGATCAGCAACTTGCCATTCGAAGTGTCACAACTTTTAAAGCAGTAATACCTCACTTAACACAAGCAAATGCTGCGAGCTACTTCAATATATACAAAAGTGGGGGAAAAGAAACAGAGCTATTGGCATCTGGGTTATGAAATACTATACCACATAAGTATCCGTATAAAAATGGTAGTATAAAAATGTAATGTAACAAATATAAAAAATATCAACGATATTAACCTGTAAGACGAAAAATCATGTACCGCATTTTCCCATCGATATCGCGTACCTTGTGCTTCTTTATGCTCATGAAAGTGAATAGATAGCGTGCAGTCTGTTTCTTGTCTGAAAAAAGAGTTTTCGGACAAATAAATGATTGAAAAATATCGACTGGCTGTAGCTGTATCGAAAACAAATGAACAGAAGAATTACTAAGAGTCATATACTGCCTCTTGTCTTTGAACACGTGTATTCTGCAAGTTTTTGATTCGAGAAATTACCCACAGATAAAAAATGGTGTGCGGAGAAAATCTTATACGAAGAATTTAATTTGACGAAAGAAAATGGGAATCGTGAAGCAGCTAGGTTATTTTACCTTTCTTGTTTTATTTTTATCTTATTTCGTTATACTAAAGCTTACATTCACTAATACTGCAATATCAAAATTTCAGACTAATTTATTTTCACAATATACAAAGTTTGAATTTACCACTTGCATAGGTAACTTGAAATAATTAGGTGTTTTTTTTTGTTTCATTGCATAACGCACAACGTTGTTTTTTACGTTTATTGGGCTTTTGTATAGATAATGCGCGCGCTATCCCTGGGAAAATACGGTACTTATTTAACATAATATTTTCATTACCGTAGAAGTGTTTTC